AAAAAACATGGCATAAATACTGTAAATGGAGTAGGATGCAGAAGATATACTGTAAAAAATATAATAAAATACAATAATAATGACAAATATATTAATTGTATCATCCCATCTTGAGTGTGCTGTAGTATCTGCTATCCTTAAATATCAATATACTGTCATTCATTTATGTCATACACCGCAGCAACAAACTGTAACGAGTTATTTTTAAAAGTACAACTGTAACTTAGCTTTATAGAAATTCGTCTTAATTTCTACACTACAAGTTATTGTTAGTTTGTGCACAAACTTACCTGAACGTGTCTCATTCTTTACTGTGTGGCTGTTCAAACTGCAGGTCTCCCTCCAGTTGATAGGTCAGTGTGCAGGCTGAGGAGAAACCAGTAGAGAGAGCAGACATCCGTGCAGGGGAGTGACTGATGAGAGGAGGGAGTGAGAACCAATATATACGTCAGATGAGAGTGAAAGGCAAGCCTATGGTAGCTGAGGAGCAGGAAGCACGCAGCCAATGACAGCACGTCCCATTGTGAGCAGCCACAGCAAAGGAATGGGTCTCTGGTAAAGCATTTGCGCAGGTGAGACTCATATTCAGACTGTTGATGTGTGGAATGACAATAGTGCTGCCGACGTCACCAGAAAGTTCAAGGCTGTAGACAGGTTTATTTTGGTGAAGATTGCGCAACAGAGAAGCTTCACTCACTTCATGGACATATTACCATATTCCGAAGTCAATGACGGAGAAAGGCTGAGAAAATAAATCACTTGATTCTATGGTTGGCTGAGGGATTCAGCAATAGTTTTTTAAAGGGCACATCCAACCTGACGTCCTTGTGTCCAATGTGGTAAAATTAAAAGCCGACCATGTCTGTCTGTGTTACGTTAAGAGTCAGTATGATGAAGAGCTCACGTTTAGTGTTCTAGTGCACTGTTCTTACACTCATATTGATTCATCTGTTCCAGGTTGGGATTTCCTGTTTGCTGTACTTAAAGGTCCAGTGTGTAGGATTTAGTGGCGGCTAGTGGTCTAGTTGCAGATTGTAACTCCCTCGCTTCACCCCCTTGTTACTTTTCAGATTAAGATAAAACAACAACATGATGAGCTCTTAAAATTCAATGCGGTATTAAAAATTAAACCAGTAGTCCCCTATCTTTTTTCCTTGTGAACCTTTAGAGAAAAGCAGTGTGTAATTGGGGCACCTTGTCACGTTTCAGATGTCTATGAGTTGTTAGCAGTTCGACCAAAGATGCTCCTCAGATGGTTTCATTTAAATAACTGCTCAAGGCCCAAAGAGGTAAAATCTTTTAATATTTTACAAAAAATGCAAATATTTAAAAAATAACCTAAATATGTAATAGCCTATAAATTTGTGCAGCAGAACTTTGTTTTTTCCTCTTTCTACCCCATTAGTCATCTCATGACCCCCCAGGAGTATCCTGAGACCCTTTGGAATGGCTTGACCCCACAGTTGGGACTGAACTACCTTACTGGATATAAAGTAGTTCAAACGAGTTCCACCTCAACCAGCTACAGCAGAACACATACTTTTACTTTCTTACAAGTCTGACAAATAACCTCAAGTGATGTCACTTGAGTCAGTCGCAGGACTATGTTTGAAAATGAAAGAAATATGCAGGTGTGGAATTAGAAAGTAGTGGGTTTCCAGACATCTGTAGCTCGCTGCTCATCTCTGCTTGAGGTTAGAGACTGGGGGCTAAATTCCAGCACTACTAACATAACAAAGGTTATGAATCTCCAACCAAACTGTCAGCGGTTGAGGTTGAATTGTGGGTAATGTCACGGTGCCAAAATATCTTTAGTTCTGCTGTTTAAGTACATTTTGCTGCTAAGACTTCAGACTTTTACTTGAAGTAGAGTATTTCTACATGGTTTCATTGGTGGTGAATGGGAGTATTTTAAGTAGTTGTTTTGTACAAGCCACAAGCTACAAGATATACTATGTGTGTACTCAAGATAATTCCGAACAGCACAAACAATCTGATTACAAATCCAATAACTGGAAAAAAGCTACTCAAATTTAATCCAGATTGAATTAAGCCTTAACTGACTCCTAGATTTGACTAGAGAACATGCAAAGTCTAAAAAAAAAAGAAAAATCATCACAATCACAAAGTTGTGTGTTGTTTTAGCTCCTCTTCTCCCATACGAGACTGTGTGGAAATTTTCAGCAGGGAGAAGACAGAGATAGATCTGAACCTGAGATATTTATAATCTGTAGACAACAGCGGGCACCACAGGCTCCCACAGGGGAGGTCGCCGAGGCACAAACTCAGCTGCTCAAGCGTTCGACATCTGCTCGGCCTTCGCAGATAATAACCCCTCTGAGACACACACACACACACACAGCCCTTGTAACTCTAACCTTGCAGTGTCAGAGTAACCCGGAGTTGAATTAGTTCAGAAGATTTAATTGTACTGAAAGCCCAGAACATAAATAAATGCTGATGGTTTGTCTATCAGAGACTGCAGTGTCAGAGCAACAAGACAGCTCTGTCAGCCTCTAAATATAGGACACAAAGCATGTAAATACACAGACCACTTGAAAAACAAACCTACCTTATGGTCTGCGCTCCCTTCGTGGTTTCTGTGCTCACTTTCTGTTTGAGTTTCATTGCCCTCATTCTCAGTATGGCTTTCTGTATCAGTCCTGTCTGTGTGTGCAGGTGATTGATCATCACTCTGTTCTGTGCTTCCGTCCCCCATATCTCCATTTACCAGCCCAGCAGTCTCTATCATCACACTTTCATTGTTCCTCTCCGGTTTGTCCTCCTTCTCCTTGTCCGGCTCCATCTGTGCTACCACCCCGTTAGGTGGCGCTTTGGGGGCATTCTGCGGCGGGGCCGGTATGGGAGAGTGGTTCTCCTGAATCCCGTCGGTCTCGGCCTGCTTCTGGAGGGCACGGTGAGCTGGGCTGCAGTTGTTCGACTTGCTGATCTGTTTGAGTGGCGAGCCGTCTCTCTTGCTCTCTGTGTTGCTGGAGGAACAGAGGAAAAAGCAAAGGGGGAAGTCAGTACGGCAAGAGCACGGGGTTAACTTACAATTTAAAAAAAAAGGACATGTGAAGGGAGAAAGGAAAGATTACAGGAGTGTTGTTCGATAGCTGCCCAAAGCTGGTTGACCAGGGAGTGTGAGACGCGACGGTAGGCAGAGAGCTCGCATGTGAGTGTGAGAGTTAAAAATAAAACTGTGGAGGTGCACAAACTTCGTTCTGTCTTATGAGGCTGCTGAGAGCTGGTGTAATGTAGAGGAAGTGTGTGTGTGTGTGAGCGAAGGAGGAATGGAGGTACAGTAATGAGGAGGATAGGAGGAGGGGGGAGGGAGGTACAGCATTACTCCCTAGAGATAGATCCTGTCCTACTTCCAAGGAGAACCCACATTATATATTGGGCTGCTGTAACATCTCTTTCAGTCTTGGCTTGCACATAAATGAAATGGAATAAAATGTTTGCAGAGAAGAGCAATTTGAAAACAACAAAGGACCAGGATGGAAGCTAGGATTGAACACAACCACACACACACACAGACATGTACAATGTCACCATTCATCTGCTCGACATCCTGTACCAGCAGTCAGTCCAGCTGTTTCCCTGTAAATTACCCTCCAGTCTTACAGCAAGCAGCTACCTACAGTAGCTACTGTATCTTAGCTCAGTTTAGCTGATCTCACATCTGTTGTAAAACTGGCCACAAATCGACCTAAAAAGAACGTATTTCCATTAGAGCATCACAAAATCTGACAGAAAAGAAACAAGAGATACTATATCTGTGATCTAACCTTTACTGATGCAAAAACTCAAGGTAGTAATAGCCTCAGCGCTGTTCACTGTTGCGTTGACTGTCACTGTCCGGTAGAAACAGGAAGTATGTATAAATAGAGGAACAACAACAGGCTGGTGAAACACTCCACAGATGAATCACTTCTGGGCTGTCAGCCACCACAGGTGTTCCTGTACGTGAGACAATACGTTCCGTACCCTCCAGAGGAACACTAATGAGACTAATAATAAGAATAATACCACCATTGCCTTATACTGTTAAATACTACTGAAAAACACACACACACAACTTTACTTTGTAGTGTGTAGGGGGTGCACAGAGCAGTTCCTCTTCGTGTATAAACACTGTAAGTGTTCCAGCACATGACAGAGTTTTAAAACGAGACAGAACTAGACAAGAATTAAGAACAGCTTCACTTGCCATGTGGCAGTCCTTTAAAGGTGCCTTTAAGGCAGCCAAGTGCCATGTGAACCAGATTAGTATATTAGTAGGCTAATTCTGTTCTCAGAAGCTGCGGGCCTTTCTCTGTTTTCTGTTCCAGTGCCACTAGAGGGCTAATCCCCGCAGCACCGCACAGTCTGAATGAAAAAGATACGCCCGATTGTTCCGATTAACCTCACTTCGACGCTAGAAAACGTGATGAAAGGTGTGGAGGAACGCTAGGATTCTGCTTTTAGAAATCTGTTTTCAGAGATCCAGACCAGAGATGACCTTGGATATGAGGCTACATGATGAAGATACTGAGTGAAATCTCAGTGGGTGTGCCACTGCTGCACACTGAATATTTTTGGGCTCTACTGTATGAGCAGTTGGGACAAGGGCACCATTGTTGGGCCTCTCACCACTTTCAATGGGCCTCTCTCACATAAGGCAAGGCTGCAGCTACAATCAAAACTTACATGACTTGTAATATAACAAGATGTAATGCACAAAAACAGGGGTGAACGTTTGAAAGCCTTGTAGATACGTCTCTCTCATTCCTGATTCAGAATGAGTAAATTCAGCTGGGAAGAGTTTGTATAAAAGCACCGGCCAACAGAATACTTAAATCAGCAACAAGATCAAAGCAGAGGCGTTTAAGTTGAGATAGCCGAAGACATCCTACCTCATTCTCCTGGGCTTCATCTCGCAACGCTGAGTCCCGTCCCACAACTGAATGAGGAGCTGTGTTTCCCCTCGCCTGTACAAATCTCCTTTCATCCCCTCGCTAACGCCTGGCTTGTGGAGCACGGGCTAATCTCCACTCGTCCTGTCTACAGCTCCGGTCTGTGCTACTATCAATGAGTCAGACTGCAGACTTTGATTGAGGGACTTCTGCTTTTCATCCTTGAAATAACCGGCATAGGAAATGTTAGGAAAGACAGAGTTTTCCATCACTGTGATTACAACAGCTTGAATGAGGTCGTCTTGTTGCAAAAGCTATTAAGTGACGTGGATGGAGTTATTCAACCATCTGTCAGGGTAAACAGTATATTGCTATGCCGGTCACAGACTGTGTGCCATCAACGAATATTTCTCAAGCGAGAGCAATATTGAAGAGCCACTTTCACTGGATAATATTACACAATAGATTGGCATCATTAAATGAGCAATTCCTCACACAGCATACGCTTTCCTAATAGCTTCTCTCTGTGAAGGGGAGCCACACACACCAGGAGGAAAGAGCCCCTACCTGTTCTCCTCAAAGCGGCTGATGAGGTTTGAGACTTTGGAGTTTTTCTCCCTGACTTTATCCCGGTTTACAGCACCTCTTCCTCCTCCAACCCCTCCTCCTCCTCCTCCTCCTCCTCCCTCTTCCATGACCGGTCTATGCAGTGGTTTCTGTATGTGGCCCAGCGGGGACGAGAGCCCAGTCACCGGGCTCTGGAGATGTGGTGGCTTTGGAGGCACTGGAGAGAAGACAGAGGAAAAGTTAGAACGTTAGGAACCTTGATGACTTTAGAGATCTTGGATAGCTGCAGATGATTGCTTTGGTTCTTTCTCATCAGTGAACATGTCACTGCAATGTAGATTTATACCTGAAGGGGGCGGCATAAGCTACCCCACATGGCACCACACAGCACAGGACACTGAGCTGTATGAAATAAACAAGTAAGCCAGCTCGGCACGAAGTGACTGAGCAGTTTTACTTTGCTCACAAATCATGTGTTAGGAATCAAATGTCCTGCATGATTTACAGCAGCAGAAAGAATGGAGCTCAGTCTTTTGTCAGTGTTGTCTTATCTGTGTAGAATGATTTACTCTGCTCAAATAAAGGAGGAATGAGAGTTCACCGATCTCAGGACAACTTACATAACCCTATTCTTGTTTTCACTGTCTCTCTGTGGTGGCCTGAGCATGTGTGGAGTCTGTATTGGTGGAAAGTAACCGAGCACATTTACTCAAATGCTGTACCTAAGTACAAATTACTAAAAAAAGATACCTGTACTTTACTTACTTACTTCTACTCCACTACATTTCAGAGGGGAATATTTCAGGTTTGCAAGCTTTAGTCACTAGTTACTTTAGAAATGAACTTTTGCATATAATACATATGCTTTGTTATGAATTAAACTACCCAACAGTACAAGTACAGGCAATTAGTTAATTGACAGAAAATTATTTGCCTATTTTAATAATTGTTATTTTTAATACAAAAATGTCAAACATTCCATGGTTCCAATTTTGCAAATGTGAAGATTTGTGGCTTTCAGTTTTAATTTTTTTTTTTTTTTGTAATTTTGNNTTGATCGGACAAATCAAGCAATGCAAAGGTGCCACTTAGGACTCTGGGTAATCTCTCTTTTTATTTTTGATCATAGATCAGTGCTATTAGTCACCCTGCAAGTTTTATAAATATTAAACCAATGAAAATGTACAGGATATACTGTGTCATGTTTCTAAACAAACACAGTAAAAAAAACACAGAAGGACAAAGGTCGCTCTGAGACAATTAGCATGTGCGTGCCAATACCTTCACGATGACTTCACACGTGAATCATAGACCGATACAATTGTGTCCGCTGACCCTCCCGCTCTGCAGTGTTTAGGTGAAGTGA